TCCCTTGTTTCTATAGCCGTTAAAGAAGTTGAATCCACTTATCAGATACGTGCGGAAAAGATCACTTTCCGACAACGACTTAATATTACATAAAAGATATATATGTAGAAAAATAAGCCACAAGAGTCCTTTATTTAAAGAAATTAAACCTGACATCTGCGGTAAAGGATCTTCGGATTCAAGATTTTGATTGTTCAAGGTAATTTGATTTCAATATACGTGTATGTTATTTTATAAAGATACTGGCCCGTGCATGCCGTGTTCAGATTTTATGATCGGGATAAAATTTAAAAAATAAAATATTCTTCATTATTTATCATTACAGATAAAATATTTGATATTAACTTGATAAAACTGGACTTGAAATAACATGTTTATGAATTTTTTACGGTGACACAAAGGTGACATGTGTGTGTTATTATTTATCTCGTGGCCACGAGATACTATGTCATGGCCACGAGTTACTATGTCGTGGCCACGAGATAGCTAAGTCGTGGCTACGAGTTACTAAGTCGTGGTCACGAGATACTATGTCTGGCCACGAGTTACTAAGTCGTGGCCACGAGATAGCTAGGTCGTGGCTACGAGATACTATGTCGTATATAGGAGTCACTCGGTGGTCGGTCGGTTGGACGGTCGGTCCAGCCGTCCGTTGCATTTTCCTTGTCCAGAGCATAACTTGAAGACTTATGGTTGGAATTCAATACAACTTCATACAATGGTCAAACACATTGAGAGGAAGTGCAGTGCGCAAAATCATAACTCCATTTTGACTAATTACAGTGTTATTGCGCTTTGTTACTTTTCCATTGCTTTCTTTTGTCCGGACCATAACTTGAAGACTAGTTGTTGGAATTTAATATAACTTTATACAATGGTCAAGCACATTGAGAGGAAGTGCAGTGCACAAGAACCATAACCCCATCTTGACTAATAACAGAGTTATAGCCCTTTGTTACTTTTCCTTCTCCGGATGCATAACTTGAAAACTACTGGTTGGAATTTTATACAACTATATACAATCATCAAGCACATTAAGAGGAAGTGCAGTGCAAAAGAACCATAACTCCATTTTGACAAATTACAGAGTTATTGCCCTTTGATACTTTTCCTTTTCCGGAGCATGACTTGAAAATTAATGGTTGGAATTCAATGAAACTTCATACAATGGTCAAGGGCAGTGAGATCAAGTGCAGTGCACAAGAAACATACCTCTATTTGGACAGTTATTGCCCTTTGTTACTTTTTAGCTCACCTGAGCTTGCTCAGGGTGAGCTTTTAGGATCGTTGAATGTCCGTCGTCCGTCGTCTGTCGTCCGTCGTCCGTCGTCTTTCGTCCGTCCACACTTGTTCGTTAACACTCTAGCGGTCACATTTTTGCCTCAATCATCATCAAACTTTGTCAGGATGCTTGTTTAGGTAATAGCTCCGAAGAGTTCGAACATAGGTCATCTCGGATGAAAAACTAGGTCACAGGAGCTAAAAATAGAAAAACGTTGTTAACACTCTAGTGGTCACATTATTGCCTCAATCATCATCAAACTTGGTCAGGATGCTTGTCTAGGTGATAGCTCAGAGGAGTTCGAACATGGATCATCCCGGATTAAAAACTAGGTCACCGGAGCTAAAAAAGAAAAACTTTTTAACACTCTAGCGGTTACATTTTTGGCTCAAGTGTCATCAAACTTGGTCAGGAAGCTTGTCTAGGTTATTGCACAAATGAGTTCGAACATGGGTTATCTCGGATGAAAAACTGGCTCACAGGAGCTAAAATAGAAAAATGTTGTTAACACTCTAATGGTCACATTTTTGCCTGAATAATCATCAAACTTGGTCAGGATGCTTGTCTAGGTAATTGCTCGGATAAGTTTGAACGTGGGTCATCTCGGATGAAAAACTAGGTCACAGGAGCTAAAAATAGAAAAATCTTGTTAACACTCTAGTGGCTTCTGTTTTGATCCAAATATCCTGTAAATTGGTCTGAAAGTTTGTTTTGATGAATTCTAGTTCCATTTCGAATATGGGTTACGTGGGGTCAAAAACTAGGTCACACTGCCCAAATATAGAAAAACGTTGTTAACATTCTAGTGGTTACATTTTTGACTCAATTATCATCAAACTTGGTCAGGATGCTTGTCTAGGTCATTGCTCGGATGAGTTCGAACATGGGTCATCTCGAATGAAAAACTAGGTCACAGGAGCTAAAAATAGAAAAATCTTGTTAACACTCTAGTGGCTACTGTTTTGATCCAAATATCCTGTAAATTGGTCTGAAAGTTTGTTTTGATGATTTCTAGGTCAAGTTCGAACATGGGTCATCTCGGATGAAAAACTAGGTCACACCGCCCAAATATGGAAAAACCTTGTTAACACTCTAGTGGTCACATTTTTGACTCAATTATCATCAAACTTGGTCAGGATGCTTGTCTAGGTAATTGCTCGAATGAGTTCGAACATGGGTCATCTGGGATGGAAAACTAGGTCACAGGAGCTAAAAATAGAAAAATCTTGTTAACACTTTAGTGGCTACTGTTTTGATCCAAGTATCCTGGAAATTGGTTTGAAAGTTGGTTTTGATGATTTCTAGGTCAAGTTCGAATATGGGTTACCTAGGTAAAAAACTAGGTCACATTGCTCAAATATGGATACTCCTTGTTAACACTCTAGTGGTCACATTTTTGACTCACCTGTCATGAAACTTGGTCAGAATGCTTGTCTAGGTAATTGTTCAGATGAGTTAGATGGGTCAGGTGAGCGATCTAGGGCCATCATGTCCCTCTTGTTTTGTCCAGAGTAAACTTGAAAACTAGTAGTTGGAATTCAATACAACTTCATACAATGGTCTTGCGCAATAAGAGGGAGTACAGTGTACAATAACCATAACTCCATCTTCAGTATTTGTAGAAATATTGCCCTTTGTTCCTTTTCCTTGTCCGGTGCATAACTTAAAAACTAATGTTTAGAATTCAATGCAACTTCATACAATGGTCAAGCGCAATGAGAGGAAGTGCAGTGCTCAAGAAGCGTAACTCTTTCTGGACTTATTACAGAGTAATTCAATAAAACTTCATCAATGGTCAACCACATTGAAAGGAAATGCAACATACAAGAACCACAACTATCTTTAATTGCCCACAACCATAACTCTATTTCAATTCTTTTGCAAGGTATTCTGTTACTAGTAACTTCCTCATTTCCGAAGCAGTCTTGCGGGGGTATTAATCACATTTAGTGATAGTTCTAGTTATTATTATTATTATTATTATTATTATTAATTATTATTATTATTATTATTATTATTATTATTATTATTTATGTATTGTGTACAGATTTTACTTGTATTTATTATGAACAAACTACATGATATTTGTTCATTTTAAAAATGAGAGAGAGAAAAAAATAATTGTAGAAGATCATAAGGAAAGAAAGTAAATTCCATAACCCTTCCCTGAAATTGAAATTTTAACTTATTTTCCATAATTATATCTGGAAAGTTTTATGTAAAAAGAAGGAGCCAAATGGAAAGAAACAATGAATGGGATTGGCGAAGGACTCAAAACATTCCACCCTATCATTTTAGATATGAATTTATTAAAATTGTGGCATCCTGTTTTGTTTAATTATATGTTATGTCGCAATTTTCTCTAGGTAACTAGGTAACTTTAGCAGGCCATTTTCACGTACGCCAGTACTGCGTTTATATCACAATTATATTTATTAAATCAATAATAACCATTAAAGGACTCCACATGTTCTTGTTTTTTTGCAGTTTTTGTTGTTTTTGGGTTGTTGTTGTTTTGGGTTGTTTTTTTTTGACATTACGAGACTGGAAACATTTTTTTTCGAGATTCATACACCATTGGATGTAGGTCTGAAACAAAACGCACAATGTGTGCAACATTATTTTTAATGGCTAAGAATTACTCAAAAAATCGATTATAAATTTAAATTTGAGAATATTTCTTTATTCTCTTTTGCACATCTTTCCGTTAAAATGTTTCCAATTTGACCTATGTAAGAAATTCAAATTACCTTTGGACCTCAGTTGTTGAGGTCTTTTAATACACTGATTCATGATTCTTACCTCTATTAAGCACCCGTACAGTAGGTAAGTTAAATCGGAAGTCTATAAAAGCTGTAAGACTATTTCTTTTGTGAATGCGCCGGAAGTTGTGATAGACATGCATGGTCACTGACTATTCAGTTGATTCCAGACCAGCTCCGGACAGTATCCATTTATTACAAGGTGGCAAATCCGCCTAAAGATATTCGTACCGGCAGTATTGTATGATTGGCATTAATTACAAATCAAGGCAGCAAACACTGCAGCAGACACTACAGCAAACACTGCAGCAAACACTGCACTGGATACGCCACCTTTTATACGAAAGCAGGGGTATTATTGAACATACATTTAGATAAAATTTATATACAGATTATATATTTTTTGTCAATAAGCTTCGCTCGTTATTGAAGGAAAAAAAAGAAAAAAAACAACAATATTATAAAATTACTAAATATTTAATATTTTGTTTTCAAATATTATAATTATAATTAATATTAATACTGTTATTATTATTTTTAATGGTATCTCTTTGTAAATTTTTTAATGCCGAAACATATTAAGACTAGATTGCGCGTGTTCATGTGACAGTACTATTATATGCTAGCTGCATGCCTCTGCACGAGAAAAATATACTAAGATTTAAAAAAAAATGTAATTCAAGTAATGTTTTACAAATTATGCGGTATTAATAACTGATTTTGCCGTGTATATATATCACTGTATTTCTTCTGCGTTACTAACGCATTAAGGGCCATTATGGCATATTTTGACCTCTTTTTTGGTAGATTACGTTGGTTGTTAGTGTTGTTTGCAAATTTTCAAAATTTTCATGAAAATTATCATTCATCTCGAGGCATGCTTCTTTAATAAGTTGTTCTCGATAAGATGCATATGGAGCAAGTTAAACAAAAAATAATATCCTACAAATGAACATATAGATAATTAGATATATTATTAGATAGACAATGACCGATTTCAGTTATTTTCCATGACCTCTCTGATCCAGTTAACGTAGTGTGCGGTGTTTGCGTAAATTCCGGGGTAAACACCAGTGCCACACCCTTTGCCGGCGGATACGATTCCGGCAACCTCAAATTCTCCGCCGGGACCTGTTGGACACAAAAGTGGAGATCCTGAATCACCCTGAAATAATTAAGATGAAACGAAAATGATAATATTTTCATTAATATAGCTATGATAAAATATTACAATGCTTTCAGAAATACTAGAATCAAGTTCCGCTGCATCTTATCTTATACGGTAGAAAATAGCCATTAGAATACTAGAAACAAGCCCTGCATCTTATACGTAAATATAGCCATTAAACACATAAGGACAAAGCTCCACATCTTATACGGTAGAAAATAGCCATTAGAATACTTGAATCAAGCTCTCCATCTTATACGGTAAATGCAGTCATTAAACATATTAGGACAACGCTCCTTATACGGTAGAACATAGTCATTAGAAATACTATGATCCAGCTTCACATCATATAGGTAAACATTGATATAAGAAATACAAGGACAAAACTCCGCATCTTATACCGTAAAACATAGCCATTATAGAAATACTAGCATCAAGCTCTGCATCTTATACGGTAGAACATATCCAATATAGAAATATTCTACAATTATATATGCCCCGCATCTTATACGGTATACAAAGCCATTTCAGAAATACTAGAATCAAGCTTCGTATCTTATAGGTAAAATCTATCATTTAGACATACTAGGATAAAGCTCCGCATGTTAGGGGTAGAATATAGCCATTAGAAATATTAGGTTAAAGTTCTGTATCTTATACGGTAAATGTAGCCATTAAATACTCGGACAAATTATCACATACGTTAAAATAGAGCTATTAGACATACGATGACAAATCTCCTCATATTAAACAATGTTATTTGATTTCCATAAACACTATCATTATCATTGTACGTCGTACTAATTTCCGTAATTTGCATTCAATTAGCATATATTTTTCACATAATTTCTGTCAACATCTATTACATAAATGATTGCAAAATGTGTCCGGAAAAGAGACCTAGGTATTAATAGATATTAAAGATAGGTAAAATGGACATCTTCAATTTTACTAATTTGAAATATTTACGTTGCATGCGTCCGGATTCCCGTTGTTATCATTTTGGTTTTGTGTCTGCATATATTCCGGAATTCCGGCACATAGCACTGTGTGGTCAATAACCATGTGTATATCATCATCATTGTACTCGAGCTTCTTGTATACCTCATCGCACGTGTTATTGTTGATCACGTACAGCGTGGTTTTGAGAGGTATATACATACCCCAGCCGTAAGGATCTGGAAGAAAAAACACGATCTGTTTGACTCACATATACCTTACACAAAGATTCATTATAACAGCTATATAAGTTATTGACAATTCAGATAACAGCGTTGTTCCTAGCAATTTCAGTGAAAAAAGAACGTTTGCCTTGTAGCCTATGCATTCCGACAACATTATATGTTATTTTGGTTTTGGAGTGATATATGTGGATATATTACCTGCTAAGATTTTATATCACCCGAGCCGTTAGGCGAGGGTGATATTTTATCTTGACAGGTAATATATCCACATATATCACTCCAAAACCAAAATAATAATTTTATTACCCTTCCCCAGCCGAGTTTAGACGATTTTTAAAAAAATCATTGTTGTTTCTACTGAAACGTTGAGATAAGATTCCCTTTAGGGTACCCCTTCATCACAACATGACGTCACATAAATACATGACGTATTTTTCCCGTAACTAACGAATGTAAACAAGAGAAAAGTAGTAGTCTATTGAACGCACTTTTTGGCTTGCAGCCACGGCTGCAAGCCATTTCATATGGAAAACTTGTTCCGGTTAGGTGTTTTTCTGCTTACATTTGTAAGTGCATGATTGAACGGGAAACCAGCTGCAATCGTGCCAATCGCAACTTTTCGGCCTTTTTCGTCACTCTTCGGATTAATGATAATAGCCGATGTAGTTCCGATTGCAATCGTGACAATTCGGGCGATTCCGTCATACTGCAGAATCAATCGAATGCTGCGGAATCAGACGAAGTAATATTACGGAAATCTAAACTATTTTAGTTACTTCGGTAATCCCAGTTTGTTTATATAAATAGGATTGATTTATTGATTTAAAACGTAATAAATTATAAACGAAATTGTTCCGTTTCAATTCTTTTTCAAGACGCAAATTATAATTGTTTTTTGTCTGTATTAGTTTTATACAATAGAGGATGTTGACTGTAGTAGTACGTATTCCGTCTTCAAAGGGTGGTCCAACTCACACAGAATATTAGTGCATGATCGAGTTATATTTAGATCTACTGAACTTGGTGAGGTAATCTAAAAATAGTCCATGCATATCATTAACCTTACCACGTGATGATCTATAGATAGCGATGCTTATTAATTGGTACCACGTAACGAAGTGGAAATGAAATGTGCACACTTGTTTCCTTTCAGTATGATAGATAGATCTCCACGTTAGTATTTTTACGATTGATTATTTTCTTTATTAGTTTTATACAATAGAGAATAGATTTCAAATCGTTTTGACAAAAATATTCGTTTTTACAAAAATAAAAACAACTAAATATGTTGGGATGAAGGCACAACTGTGCAAGCCTTTCCTTTTAAAAGGAAACTTTATTTGTAATTAATATCAAGCTTTCACAAGGTCATATTTGTTTTCAATACTGATGAGGATAGGTATCATTACTTTACTTTGGTAAACATTTATCATTTGACAGTTAAAAAGTGCTTGTAAATCGGAATTAACACCTCGTAAAATCAAACCGTACGCGCATCACCTCAGCGCGTGTTGTTTACAACGTGGGGTACCCAACGGGGAAATTTAGTGTGTATATTACCCGTCTGGCTCGGTAATATCAATTTCTTTCGGGTGATCAATAACCAATCAAAAAGGCGGAAAAAATCTGGAAGGGTAATTAAACGTTATAAATATTGGAAAATTAATGAATATACATTTTATACTGTAATCGACAACGTTGCAATAAACTCTTTAAAATTTACACATGTATACCGGCCGGTATATGAAATATACTACTTCCGGTCAATTTTTCATAGCAACGGACCACGTCGTAAAAAGGTCTATACATGTACAAAGAGTAATAAAGCTGAAGACGAATAAAAATATCATGAGGAGTCGTTTAATTTGAGGCACGTCAGACTTTCTCGGCCTCAAGTCTGACATTTCAGTTTAGATAGACCCTTACCATTGGCTATAGTTGCCCTCGGCCTCCAAACTGGCATTCAATTTGGAAAATAACCCTCAAAATATCATATGCAGACCATTAGTACTGGCTAGTTACCCTGGCCTCCAATCTGATATACAATGTGGAAGATTATCCTCTAAATATTAATTATGATCCTTACAAGTTGGTAGTTTCCCACGGCCTTCGATCTGACATTTAATGTGAAAGATTACCCTCTAAATATCAGATATAGACCCTTACCATTGTCCCAGCCGCCAATCTGACATTTCATGTGAAAAAAAAACAACCTTACCACTAGCCAGCTGCCCCCAGCCTCCAATCTGACATTCTGTATCGTCTTTAATACTGCTAGTGTTAGATAAAGGGATAACTCCGACATACGCTGTTAATTTCGCTTCTTCCGTCAGCTTGATAAGCGCAATGTCATTCTGTAAAGTATCTAAAACGAGACGGAAGTATGCAGGTTTTTATTGAAAGTAAACAAAAGTGTGAAGATCAAAAATGTTGAAGTAAGTACAAAAAGATGCGTATTTGTACATTGTATATAATATTACATTTTGTATAACAATGTTCATAAACAAAATTACCAAATTTGTTTTCTTTTATTGTATCAAATGAATTATTTTATGAGAGAATATATGAATATATAACGTTCACGAATCACGTCTGTTTTTCTGATGAAGCACAGCACTCCCAATATATACAATTTATATGGAAAATCCCGTTTGCCACTGCCACATTTACGTGAGGTTAAAATAACATTGGTATATTATGACCATAAAGCAAACGTGCATATAAAATGCGGAACTTTCTTACTTGTCACGTGTGGTAGGAAGCCAGGGTGTAGGAAGAAGCTTTCTGGTTTGATTATTTGCTCCTCGAGATCCCTTAGATATTGATTGTGTTCCCCAAGAACAACGTTCCAATTGTCTTCCACGGCCAATTCCTCGAAAAATCTGTCAATGAAATGTGGTAAAACTAAAACAATCGGGTAATATACGTACACACACTGTAGAATTTATTAAATCATAAAAGTGCAAATATTGCAATGTATAAACATCTGTATAAAATATAGGCTCTATGTCTTAAAAACCCTTCATATATTTGTATCTGTGAAATATTTATACTCGCATTAAAAAAAATGTTTGAAGCTTCATTTTATACTTTGCATAGAAACCTGAACATTCAACTCCGAATTCATATTATTCTACATTAGACATTGAAATATTTTGGTGTTGTTGGGAGTTAAAATAATCAAATTCACTTCACAAAATAGTGATATAACACGAACACATGTAAATTTATTCTCCTAAAGTCCCTGCTAGACATGTTATTGAGCATTCACAATGTGCATAATTATATTTATAATATAGCTAATCAGCTGATATAACTACATCTTCCTTCTTTTAAAATAAAAATAAAATTGTGCTTTAATATATCATCATCATATAAATACTAAATAATTCATGACTTAATTTTATTTTCAACAATCTCTTATTTTCTGCAAAATGTTCGAGCAGAATATTTTTTATGCATCACTTTTAATTATTTTGTAAACCATTGTTTCGCACAGTATAACTTTAAACATATTTTATTGCATTAAATACATGTTTATAAACATATCATACAAATAATGAGTATACATCAAAATGCAAATGGGTTGGGCAACAAGTTACAACATTAGATTAAGCACTTCCCAGAAGGTACAATCGGAATGATAGGCTATTATCACCGACTAAAAGGCCCGAGAAGTTGCAATTGCCCTTTCTCGTTCCATAAGGGGCGTCGCGGGGCGTCGCGCCAACAATTTGTGTGTGATAAGGTAAATTTGTGTATACATTTTTGTCTGGGGTACAGAGTGTAGGAACGACTGCCTGACATGTAGGCTGTGAATGGGATATTGCACTATTTTCTGCAATTAACTGTGATGAATGATTATGCTTATAAGATATTAATTAGAAAGCTATTTATATCAAATGAATATTTGGTGTAACGTGCAAATTTTAACAAATTCAACATAAACACGTGAGACGAGATATGTGTGTTACATTTTCTGACAAAATAAGTCACAGAAATTAAAACATGTACGATCGATTTTATCATCTGAAGAATAGGCAAACCTGCGTTTATAAATGTTTATATAACAATTTAAGGAAAAGTTATACGCTTATCATGTAAACAAAATAGCGTGGTATGATAAAAATTTGATGGTTAGAAAGTTACGTTTTTGTCTTTAATAGAAATTACTAAATCACTGTAACTTTACGAGTGATAAAGAGAAAAAAACAGTTCAAATACACTGCCAATGAGCACGCTGAAACTAAACATATCATCAAAATTTAATGTAAGAAAAAAATTCTGTGACTAAAAAATAATGAATTTTAGGAGGGGTGACAGATCCCGTAATTTATATTCATCTTTTAACTAAATCTCTTCTAAGAACATGCATTATAACATATTCCTGGGTATAGCATTTTAGTAACTGTGTTTCAGGAATGTCATATAACTAGTAAATTTGTAAAATTACGAAACGTAAAAAGAACATTACCCAACACAATGTCCAGCTGTCAGTATCCATTGGGGATGAATCAGGGCTCCTCCACAAAGATGTTTCATGTGGGTTTTACGTGTGAATGGAAACGGCTTCAGATAATGTAAGGAGGCCAAGAAGGGCCATTCTCCTCTCTTCATCGTCTGACCACCAACTATTCGCCTCTCGCGGACCATATCATTTGGGTATGCTACAGCAACGTGCAATAGAATGCACAAAGCTGAAATAAATACAAGTACAATCATCACTTTGAGGTCCATTATGCTTGCGTTTTTATTCCTGGAAAGCTTTTTGTATTTGGGCCTTATGCCAACTCTTTTTTGATTTTCTTACTTTATCTAGGGTTCTGATATTAAATGTGTGTGTGTTTGGGAGTTGGGGGGAGTAAAACGAGTGATAAAGTAATATATTAGTTATTTAAGATGCCAAGGAAAAAAGAAGACATTTCATCATTTTTTATCGTTGGATCTATATCATATTACAATGTAATTTATTTGTATGTTTGGAATTTTACTAACTAATTTGATTTTTTTTTTAAATTTTGTGTAAGAATATAATGATACTATTCTCAAAGAGGATAACGTAGGTATAAAAATATAAAAATGTAATATGTAAAAATATAATATTATAAAAATGGCTGGTAGTTTGAAAATATGGCTTCACTGATGCTATTTATATACTCATTCAACTTTTTCTCCCTTCTTTGTGCGTGTGTCTGTTGGGGGATGCTGTTGTTGTTGTTTTTAAGGTGCCAGGATATCCCATTATGTATTGAAATAAATCTATCTTAAATGGTTGAAATATAAGAACATTTACTATAATATTTACTGAAAAAAAACAGGCATTATTAGTAGTAAAGAAAGAAACAAACAAGAAAGATAACAACAACAACAACAACAACAGGACAACTAATTAATGATACTTTAAAACGTTCTGTTGTTTTGGGGCGGTTTTATTTTTATAAAGACAAGACAAGTTAAATGTTCTTTAAAATGCGAAAACCTTTTAGGAACGTCGTCAGATATTTACTTATTTATTTTTCTATATATACAAAAAACAACATTTAACAGGACAGTAACGCGCGGAATGCACTAATAGCCATGAGAAAAAAAAATGGTGAGGAGAGTAACTTGTATGAAAAAAACACGTTTATTCTAGGTAATATCTTAAGATGCGACAATAACATAAGGTTCACCACTTTGAACAAAAGATATTTTTAAAATATGATCAAAGTAACTGTTAATATGTGATATATATTTATATAAATAAATGACGTTTATTTTAATAGGAAAAAAAAGATAAATACATATACATTTGTTGGTTTGTTCAGTTTATTGTTCGGATTGCCACAATATTTAGTCATATGTTTGAGTTTTAAGATGCACCGGAATTTTATAAAACGGGAAGGGACTTCTTCAATAGTATATACACAAATCCTATTTAATCAAATTAGGGTTATATCAGATCTCTAGATTGTATGTAAAAAATCTTACAAAAGAAAACAAACCGAATGTATATTTCGCTTAAATTACTTCATATTTCAATGTCTCAAATAATAATGATGATAATAATAATAATAATAATAATAATAATAATAATAATAATAATAATAATAATAATAATAACAACAACAACAACAACAACAAGTAATAAATAATGTTAATAATAAAATAGCAAATTTAAAAATATATAATTGTTTGATAAAACTCACCATAGAAAAGGTTCATAACCATCTAAGTCAGGCACTTTTTACAGAAAAAGGAAAAAAGAAACACACTTCCGTGTTAAAGAATTGTGATGTATCTTGTTGGTCCTCGGAAGGCAAAAGGAAATAATTCAGAATAAGCTCGGTGATTAAATACGTAACTATTTCATAATTACTACTAATAAGCCTATACTAATAAGCTATTGTAACATCACATTATATTGGACAGGACAGCATACTACAAATTATCCCCGACAAAGCCCTTTTATCTCCTAATTAGTAGGTAATTACAACTGTAGGAGCACGTGCGTGATGGACGCTCTTTATCACCAGAAAAATAACAGGTCATAATAGTAAATACCCTTGTATAATATTGTAATATTTTAAATAGACAACGCATTTCATAACAATTTTTAATAATATCTGAAAATGAAATTTTGTCCTTGAACCATAACTTATTGTTTAAGAGGTTTGCGCGTGCATGTATATCTTTCAAAAAAGAACCAGAGCTACATCTCTGAAGGAACTGACTTGCAACATTGAATATTACTTCTAGTCTGTAGGATTTGAGTGTTCTTATATCTAAGAAAGTAATAATAGAATAAGTGAAGTGCAGACTTTTTAGAATATTGTAGGTTTGCGACTGTTTATTTGGGACTTATACATGCAAGCGCAAAATATTGAATATTGAACATAACATTCCATGAATCATCTTTTAACTAATGTAAAATCCGTGTTTTGATCTCCAAACATTGTATATATTACATTTTATACTTGTTATGCTTTATGCAAAAAAAGGAACTTTCCGTCAGTTTAAACGTGTATATATTGCATTTATTTACATGTATATAAAAAACAGCAACAAGGAGACATTAACAATCATACACCTTTCTTCATATACGCATTCCGACGGAAACACTAGTTGCTTACTATTTTAAAAGTCAATCACAAAATGAAAACTGGTAAATGTACATGTAAAGAATACGTATTGTATATCATTAACTTTATGTGAAACCGTGAATTACATGAGTAAATGATTTTCATATTATTGAAGCTGTCCATTATATTTAAATTTGAAATAATTTACATTTTTTTTTATATTTTACCCGTTATTAACGAAAATGATATTTTGACATGTTGTAGACAAATTATGTTGATTGGCATGTGTTTATGGAAAGATTAAAGTACAGTTTGCAACATTTTTACCAATGCGATTTTTTTTAATTTTCGTTTCAAGCTACATGAATTTGAAAATTTGTTGCTTTTACATATTTCCCAAGTATAATTAACATTAAAGATACATTCTATTTTATATACTTGTAGCAGGTGCATGCAGTTATAAAGCTATATATAAGTCAACAATTTATAAGTTGTTCTACAATATGTCACGGATCGGTGTGTTTGATATTTTAGATCCGAGGAACGTTCTTGTATAGAGAAAAACAAACCAGAAAAACAAACAAACAACAACAACGAAAGACAAATACATTTTTTATTGAATCTCTTCCCGACAAGCTCAGAAATCCAAGAACGTTGATTGGAAACCCGGTGTGCCACATGTCATCGAGCGGTGTTGATATTTTAATGTATGAAAAACGATCTTGTTCAGCAGAAAACAACCAAATAAAATATTTATTGAATCCCTCCCTGACAATTTAGCTCAGAAATCCAAGAACGTTGATTAGTAACCCAGTGTGCCAAATATATGTCACATATATGGCAACTGGTTGAATACAGTGGAATATAGAATCAGAAAATGTGAGAATGTAAAATAAAATTCACACCAAGTGTCTGACTTGGTTATTATGAAAGGGATGGGTATACGACACTCCATAAGACCATGTAACCATGGAAATAAGACCATTAGATAATATTTATTATTAATAAGAATGTCAGATCAGAATGGTTAGTCATGACTTACGACTAATCACCTTATACATAAAACATGATCATCTGTGATATTGATTAAAACAAGCATGTTTATTACGATTGTCATATTGTAATGTTTGTATATACATGTACATCAACTGCAGTCAACATTGTGTATGTCTTTTAAATGCAAAAGGACTGTGATGGCAATTCCTCAACGCACATTTTTAGCGCAATAGCTTCTTCGGCTCAAATTACTATATTTAGTTGCCCGATTTCTGGTGCTACTGTTGTGCACTAAAATTCGAGGTAGGGGTTTCATTTGCTGGTCGTTTCGACAATTTTCACCAAATATTTTTAAAAAAATAAATATTAATTTTGATTTAGTGTCTATTTCATCGCGTGTATTTTTTTTTATATAATTCATTGGACCCCCATTGAAAATAAGCTTTAAGATTAATGGACACTCCTAGGGTAACATATACAACATACTACTTAATTTTATAATTATTTTGGTGCATGTTTATGTGTGTGTGTGTGTGTGTGCGTGCGTGCGTGCGTGCGTGCGTGCGTGCATGCGTGCGTGTGTGTGTGTTTTATGTACAAGTTGACAATATATGCGACAATATAGTATGTGTTTATGTATATTCCCTCAATAAATCGGTTAGATAATAGAGTGCAAACTCTAATGACCTTTTCTCTGAAATCTTAATATAAATGTATTATTATACTTCAAGTTATTTTATATCACACATTTGATCAAACTAGTAAAGTTATAAATGTCAAAGAGTAAATTCAAATACAGCAGCGTGTAGTCAATCATATTGTTTGGTGCTTCAGCTGTACGCATGGTACTTCAGGTGTACATCTTAGCATATGTACATCAAAATTATATTTGTATTGATAACTGATAGTTCCTAGTAATTAGAGTCGAGAGTAAGAACAGCATCATTTATTATTATTTTTGTCCGATGCTACAGGTATAAACATGGGACCGCAGTTCTGCGCCTTATTTTAAGTGTTTGCAATGTGTTTGTCACTTTTGTTTATAGTTTATATGAATTTATTTTAATTCGACTGTGTTGGAAGCTATAAGCTTATTGAAACACTCCCGAATCCGTTCCTGGAACTAGCCAGTACTAAGCAAAGAATGCAAAGTTTCTTGCTCAAGGAAATATCGGCTTTCCCCTGCGGCTAGCAAACCTTAGATTACTACATTGTGTAGTCCGATATGCGTTAACCACTCGGCCACGCCGTCACTTTGAAATATTTTAGTTGAAAAATGAAAATAAGTCATCTTCTTAAGTCCCCGACATTTTACATATTCTATCAAAAAGTACATAACTTTATTAAACTACAGATTATCATAAATATATCTATTATTATAGATAAAATTACATCTTTCAAACTAATATTAACATTTAATTACTTAATTGTACAAAAACCATTTTATCAAAATTCCCTTGTTAATTGAATTTCCTCACGTTATTTCTTTGTTTAATGATTGAACATACTAATACTGTATGTCTTAGCAGAACAAAAAAAACTTTCACATAGCATCACTAACAAAAAGGCATATTTTAAATAATGCTTTAAATACGTAAAATGCAAAAACAAAAGCATAAATAGTACATTTATAGGGCCAGATATATCATAAATTCAAAATAAAACATCCCATTCACCGAATATAAAAATATTTGTTTCTAACATTTTGCGTGAGTGCTTATTTATTAATATTCAAATAATATTATATGTTAGTATGGAGATTTTTGTAAACATATTCTGGCAGTTCGATATTTCGGTTAACCTTTGCAATATTCGCAAGAGATACTATGTCCTGGCCACGAGTTGCTAAATCGTGCGCACGAGATAACTAAGTGGTGCGCACAAGTTACTATGTGCTGCGAACGAGATAACCCTTGACTAAGTAACCTGTGGCCACGACTTAGTATCTCGTGCGCACCACCTGATTATCTCGTGCGCACGACTAAGTAACTCGTGGCGACGACATATAGTATCTCGTGCTCAAGACTTAGTAACGTGTGGCCACGACATAGTATTTCGTGCGCACAAGATTAATAAAAACGCACACATGTCACCTCTGTGCCACCGTAGCTCTTCTCTTCAAAAGCGATAATCATATCATCTTCAAATAGTAAACTTATTTCTTCTACATCCATGGCATCTTTTATTTTATACTGTTGTATTTTATATAGCTCATATCCTCGTACAAAATGAATACGCATCATTCTTATGATAAAACAGAAACATTGAACTTCCTCAAGGACACCTGGAATTTCATACATCTCGAGGTCAACTCAAAACTGGCCTGTTTGGGTCAGTGATGAGAAAGACACTGGACCACAAGCTATACATGTGTTCACTAACGAATCAATATCTCCGAGGAAATGGAGACAGACTGACCACATTCTTTGACGAGACAAATCAATCATAACAAGATGTGCCCTGGATAAAATTGGAACCCACATGGAAACCAATCCTTTTTTCATGGAATGAGGCAGGTCCCGGGACATAACCAGATTGAAAACAGAATTCCGAGAATTGGGCGAAATGAAGAACTTAAATAAGTTTGTTTCCAAACTATATACAAGTATGATTTATAAATTTAATAACAATAAGAATTCATTACTGAAAAAGTAGACCTTTGTTCAAACTAAATAGGGTAGAACATATTTATAATCCTTTTTTTTCAAAACCATCAATGTTATTGTCATTAACATGTGTGCTAATTCAAATACCATTGGATTTAATATAAAAAAATATATGAAGAAAAGAATTGAACACAAAGTAAGGTGATTAATCTGTGTGGGGCTTGAACATATGGTGGGAGATTAATTGCAACTAGGTTATGGCATATCTTATGAAAAATGATGAGTCTACAGTCTGTGATGTTCAAGGGATCGCCAATCCAGTTCTTCCTGCATGGTTGTGACACTGAGAGAGGGGAGTAATCCCTTTTTACCCATCGTATTGCATGTATCTGGATCATCTCAACTTTGTCAATATTTTAGAGTTCGGAGACCAAAATGTTGTGTTACCATCAGCAGTACCCATTAACTCATGTCTATAAATGGTGCAATACTTTGAAAATCTATTTTAATATCTTTATAGAATTTGTTCGGTGGTCGTAGCACAAACATGTATACAATCTTCATCACACACCCGTGCCGATTTTGCGACTCCGTAAATTTACATGGTATTGCACGGCCGTGCATATATTTTGACGTGACGTCATTAGCATTAACATAGTGTAAAGACGCGCTTAATGTTAGAGTTATACTATAGGCGCGTCAATGAAAAATGACTCTTATATCACTTTAAACGGTCTTTATTTTGGATATGTGATAAATAAAATATTTAATTCGTGTAAGTTCATTACTGAATTTATTGCACTCGTTGAATAAAATAATATTATGCTCGCCAGAGGCTCGCATAATATAATTTTATTCAACTTACACTTATTCAATATCCACTATTTATCACATAAACCGCGGCGCAGGAGTGTAATAAATAGAGGATATTGAATGAGTGTAGTTTAATACTAAATTTATTGAACGAGTTGAATAAAATCATATTATGCGAGCCTCTGGCGAGCATAATATTGTTTTATTCAATGAGTTCAATAAATTGAGTATTGAATCTACACGAATATATAATATTCTATTTATCACATATATAAAATAAGAACAGTAAACTGTTAAAATGAGTAATTTTTCAATGACGCGCCTATAGTGTAACGCTAATTTTAGCGCGCTTTAACGCTATCTTTATATAGAGCGCAAATGACGTCACATCAAAGTGTTATTACACTAGTGTAATATCGTTTATTAACTGGCTTTATTAAACCCATGCGCCGCAATTTATGTGATAGTCATTTACCACATAACCCGCGGCGCAGTAGTGTAACAAAGCCATTTAATAGACACGATATAACACTAGACGATATTACACTAGTGTAATAACACTTTGACGTGACGTCTTTTGCGCTAAAAACATAGCGTTAAAGCGCGCTAATGTTAGCGTTACACTATAGGCGCGTCATTGAAAAACTACTCATTTTAACAGTTAACTGTTCTCATTTTATATATGTGATAAATAGAATATTTTATTATATTATACCTCATTTGCATACGCCCTTCTATATTTAATATGACGTCATCCGGTCCATAAACCGCATACAGACCGGGGGCGGTCCATAATTCTTATATGGACTGGATGACGTCATATTAAATCTTAAAGTTCGGTTTTTTTGCCTGTTTAATTTGATTAACAAAATTTAAATAACAAAAGAAGAGCATGATTTTTTGCTTGATCGCTTGAAAATTATAATAATAAATCCGACTAGGGTCTGAGATATTTCACACACTGAACAACTAAGTTATTATTTGAAAGCAAATTATAGTAAAAATGTCAGCAACAAAAGGGATGAAAGGATTTAGATTCGGTATAATATAACAAATAAAACATGGCCTTTTGAGCAAAATGCAAGTTTACGGACTGGTTGGTCAGACCTCGGAAGGTATATGTCCCTCAGCTGCGCTTCGGGCCATATACCTTCCTCCGTGTGACCAATAAGTCCGTAAACTTGCATATTGCCCTTAAGGCCATGTATTATTTGTTAAATATACTTATAAATGAAATATTGAGAAATATTGATGAAATAAAATGCGTATTTTCATTTTCCGTATTTTCACTGTAAAAATTTATTTTTCACTGCAGTGAAACATATTTTCCGTATTTTCACTGGTGTCTTGCCGGACTACTTTCTTTTAAATTCTGCCTGTACACAAAATTTAAGGGAAAGTCTTTCAAATCTTAATGTCAAAAAAGAGAAAAATGTATATAATAAACAGAAAATTCAAGTTTTTTCTATAAATACATGATTTATTTTCATCTTGTGGCATGAAAATTACCATATTTCACTCGTGGCTACCGCCACTCATGAAATATTTATTTTCATACCACTCGATGAAAATAAATCATGTATTTATAGAAAAAACTTGAATATCCTCTATATATTCGTGTATATTCAATACTAAATTTATTGAACTCCTCTATATTTAGCTCCATGGTCGCTATTCTGGTTCCCGGCATCTAACAAGTATTAGTATCTTTGCGTAGCGAAAGGGGAAGGAACTCCCAGACTACATGGTCGCAGTAAGCGATTCTGACACAGTATACATTTAGTTATGTTCACCTTAAAGCAAACATATAGGAGTGTAATACCTAAAAATTATAATATTAGTTATCTCCCCTAAGGAAGTGCCCGTTCCCACAATTCTCGTTGCCAGCGCCGCCATTGTGAAGCGGAAGACGCAGAAATATTTAGAGAACAAAAGAACAAAGCCCATACATTTGCATAAACTATCAGCCATTAACTTACTTAAATTATTTCAATAAGTGTTATCTAAGCCATGAGTGTCGCTAGTGCCGAGAGAAAAACGAAAAAGAAAGGAGGAGGGCTTTCTGGGTTACTTCGAAAAGAACAAAAAGATCCTGTCACAGAGGAAGAGCTCATGAAAAAAGATACAATATGTCCCGATGACGTTTTAAGGTTGAATAGAATAACAGAAGGTAGATAATAAGTAAACAAATGTTGTTACGAGTTTTACATCCAAATAAGCATGTTTTTCTCATTGTCTAAATAGATTAGATGATCTCTCGCCTGAACAAGGTGCTTTCTTTTTTATTTTTATACATAATTTGTTAAGAATTGTCATACTCTTGTACAGATTTTCCTCAGGTCAATTTATTTTCATGTACGATATTGTATTTGTCTTAATGGGTTAGGCAATGTTGAACAGTTGAAATTAGATCTGATGTTCCATATTTTGACCCAATCATAATTTGGTCAGGGACTCCACATTTATTTTTGTTTTGTTTGATACTTAAAGCTGTGAAGAATTAAGATTAGATTTACCTATAGATATTGAATAATAATGAAATTCTTTTACAATTCTAATTATATTATGATAATTTGCATATAGTTTATAATATAGTACTCCCCTCGTGTACCGCGTCCTTGTCCATTCCGATGTAACCAGAAAATTTGTTTCTTTACACATAGAATGCCACCAAATACTGTTTCCACCATTAAAGTGAAAGTGCTGCTTTTTGTGAATTTGGATAGAAATTGTTAGAATTTTTTTTCGTTCATTTCAAATAAATTCTGTCATTGATGATTGATAGGAAAATCCAAAGCTGCCCGATGTGTGTTAAAAATACTTCTTTATTTTACCCCATATTTAACGGTTAAACTTATAATTTCATGTTCCGACAAGTGAAGGTCGTCTGCTGAAACTGTAGTGACATCATATTCTGTTACAAACAATTACACTGAATCCAAAAAGGGCCATCAATTAACATACAACGGTACCATAGTGCTCTCCGTTTAAGCTCCCATTCAAAACATGGCTGACTGACCATAGATGTTTCTCATTTAAATCATGGAGTTATTTTATCAATGACATGTGAATTTTAATGTCAAGATGCGACAACAAAACACAATTCAATAAAATAGTAAATACAAGTTCTTTTTATACAATTTGCTGGAAATAATAAGAACAGTGGTACCAAATATAGGGGACAATCCTAAAAATGCCTTATTCTTGTTGATTTGTAACTTCCCATAAATTTGTGAATGTAAATAAATTTCTGGTACAAAACACTCACTGTAAGGACATATATCAACTAAAAACTACACAAGTATTAGCTGACACTTGATTCAACAATTTTATCCATTTATCAAAATGTATAATTGAACATGTGTAATTGTGCTTACCTACAGTCCATTTTATGACCTAATTACTGTATAATATTTAATATTGATGTAAGTTTATTGTAACACACAAGCAAAAAAAATATTCTTCTTACGATGATAAAATATACCCAAGATTTTGAAACATATTAGCTATATTGATCAGAGGGAAAATGACCAAGCTAATTTAGTGGTGTGAACACCTATATCTTGATGACGTCTCAGGGTGAATTGGATTTCACATATTGATGAGTGTCTAGCTGAGAATGACAGTCATGGTTGACATGTTCAGAAAACTGTGTGGAAAAATGTTCAAAAAGAGTGGTCACCCTTGTGATGCTGATTTTGCTCTTTTATTACATCAAAGCAATTTTAAATCAACAGCAATTGATATCAATATCAGACAGTAGCTACCCATGTCTGTATCTGTACTTTCCTCAGCTTGCCTAACTTGTTGCTCTAAAATATGATTTAGCACATTAAATCAGTAAAATTGTAAATAGTTGTGAACTATCTGTCGATCGAAATGCTCTATTAATTTAGGATGAATAATTTTCTATAGAAAAATTGCTTGAGTGAAAAAGTGTTTTATAGTATTATATGTGGCACATCTCAAACCAAATCTCAAGTCTATCAGTCATTAGCACTTGATTTTCTTCTGAAGTTTGCATTATGTCATGAATAAATTATTATCTCATTACAGACCTCTCTAGTCAACAATCTTTTCATAAATTCATTCGGGAATGGATAGGCATTGATCTTTCATCCCATATTGTTGTTCAGTCTCCTTAAAAAGTATAAATTTGTGACAACTTGAAACTTTGCAGGAAGATAAATCTCGTTAGGCCATGCCTGATTGAGCACAAGTGTTGTGTGCACAAGAATGATAACTTTACTGTTCATAATTTTTAAGTGATTGTCCAATATTCTTTTTCAAACTTAACATTTGTCAGTACATAGTACATTGTATAACTTCAAAAGTATTTGATATGTAAACTTGAAACCTCATATGTGGATAAATATCATTACTAAAGGAGAAATGCAAGATTGCAACTTTCAATAATTTTTTCTTCCACTGTTCAAAGACTTCTTTTGAGAGAGGTATTTGACAGTCTATGGTTCATTCTTGTTACACAATAAATCATTGTTTTCATTAAAGATTGTATCAGTCTACAAACTGAGGAGTAGGCCCCATATGTCATGGCTACTAGACTTTGGGGTTGGGCTGTAAAATTTTCTAAGTCAGTAGCCCTACTGGCCTGTAAAATGTTAGCAGCGGATCACCTTATTTCCTGAAAATTTAAGAAATGAATTTCAAATGGAACACCTCATTTATCCTAGGTGGTGGGGATGAAATTTTTAAAAAGTGTATAAATGATAATTTTTGAATTTACTTCCAACTTTATACAAGTAGATATTGCCAGCCACAACACAAACCTGAATGGCTTGTAGTTTTCTTTCTCTAAATTCTTTGACAGTGATTATAAACTGATTATTATGATTATTACAGTAATAATAAAATCTACAATCATTGTAAAGTGTTTTTGAGTTTACATTAAATTTTGTTTTTTGAACGACTGTAGTGTTAAACATTGTTTGATAGGGATAGGTAATTTGTTCCTTACAGTAATATTGTTCAAAATAAGAAAAAGAGTTCCTTTAATGTCAAGAGAAATTTAAAATTTCCTTCATATTTAATAGTGACATATTGTTTAAAAATATATTTGTCATTCATAATTGCTGTGTGGTATTTCACACTGTTATTAAATTTCAGCCATTGAAATTAATTGTAGGTGAACATACCAGAAAAGTTGTGCTTTGTAATACTATGGAAAACTAATCAAGCTTTGGACGGATACTTGGTTTATAATACAAAATGTATACTTCATCAGTAAAAGGGAAGTCTTTTGCTAAGTGGTTAAGGTCATTGACTCATTGCCTCTTCCAGCTGTAGGTTCGAGCTGCACAAGCATCTTTGGATTCTTTCATCCAGCAACATTGTAGCTTATGTAACTTCCTCCACAAGCAAAGTTGGAAAGTCCCCATATGACCTATACTGTGTTGTTGTGACATAAAACCCAATGAAAAAATCATCAGTAAAATAGAAGCTACTTTGTCATTCTATAAAATGTGAATAATAATTAAAATGATAAGTTCATTTTAGTTCATCATCAAATTGAATAAAATCTCGATTCCCTCTCACAGTGTAATTTTCCTGTTAATTGAAATATACATAAAGAGGATAAGATAATTGAAGGTGTAAATAGATTCCTATGGTGTTTCTTTCTCCTATATTGTAAGAACACCTTTAATCAATATCTGTCAGACAGAGAAAGGGATATTACATTAAGACCTAATTAAATACACAGAGATGAACCTTGACTTCTCCTGTTAACTTGTTTTCAAGCTATGTTTTTCCTTTTATAAGTGCTGAGAATTATCCTTTGGTCACCTGAACATGTAATTTACATGATGTTTTAGTCTTCAAAAACAAAAAATGAGTTATAAATAAGATGGTGAATTTATATATATACATGTACATGTAAGATAAGAAGATAATATTCAAAGTTATGTAGATAGGATTGAGGATTGGGGTTTATCCCTCTACCTACTGAGTTTCATAAACAAACTTCATCTTCTACCATTTTTAGCTCATCTGTGGTAACACAGTCTAGTTTGTTATAAAAAAAATTGCAAAGGTTTAAAACTTGAATTTATGTACACGTTCATGTACCACAAGTTAGAAACCTTATAATACCTTAGATGGACTTGTCCACGTTCATTCTGGATAAAACAATGCATTATTTTTAAGAGAAATTTTTTAAAAATGTTGCCCATAGAACTCTAAATGTAATATTTTGTTATGTTTTGTTTTTTCAGATTATCTGTGCCCTCCTGAAGCTAACATATATGGTATAGATTTTACACGATTTAAATTACGAGACATGGATAGTCAGACAGTGTTATTTGAGGTTGCAAAACCGCCACCTTCAGGTACATGTAATAACTTTGTTATGAACTTATCTAGAGTATACAGTATTATAGTGATGAAAAAACAACAACAAATTTTATACACAATTGTTTAAAGGTATAGAGTATATTTGCTAGTGTTATATTACTTGTATCAATACAGCAGTTCATCTGCGGTCACAATAAAATAAAATAATTATTAGACAGTCACTAGATCTAATGAGATATATTTACAACAGACTATCACTCTCTTGAGACTGTTAGTTATCAGAACTTCTCCTCTTAGAAATAATGCACAGAGGGAGATCTTTTGTTAATGTTCTCAATTAAACGTGCAATTTGATATTATGCAACTGAAAAACAAATCCAAAAAGATAAAATGATCAGAGCTTTCATTAAGTTTCAAAATTTGGAAGTCAGAGACAGCAAAATGTTTGACATTGGAAGTCACATTATATTATACAGAAAGAGTCTATGCATCTCTTAGCTCCAGCTGGTGAGATAGTTTTGACCCCTGGTGTTGCTTTAATTTTGTAACACATGAGGTTTGCCTGTTTTGATGCCATATGACCTAAATTATGTTGGGGCAGAATAAAACAAAAAAAAGAACAGCAGCCAAAAAAAAGCATATGTTAATGTATGTAGTAATATTAACAAATTTGTATTTCACAGATAATGGAGAGTTTGAGTTTGATCAAGATGAAATGGATCCAAATGCTGGAAGATTTGTACGCTATCAATTTACACCTCAGTTCCTCAAACTGAAAACAGTCGGTGCCACGTAAGTTTTCTGATTCCTCTTTTCATGTTCAGCTTCTCCAGACGACAATTGGCTTAGTGCATTTAAGATAATTATGATAATTTATTTTGGAATTGCCCTTCTAAATAAAATTTTCCTGTTCTCTATCAACTTCTGTTCTTGTAGTTTTTCTTGGATTTTATTTCATTGCTTTCTTTGGAGGATAATTGTTGTTTCTTTATCAAAACATGTTATTGAGTTTGTAAGATTCTCAACCAAGGGTTATACTTATGCATGTAACCATTATATCATTACATGTTATTATTGTTTGATAACATGAGATTGTGTTTATGCATAGTACGTGTAACTTGATATAATCCTTGGTAGTACTTCTGTATGCTTTCATTTTGTCATTATCCATTACATCATCATACAGTTATGTGAAATCAGATATTTCCTGTGTTGTGATTATTTTCTATTTATTTTAATTTCTCTGTTATTTTATTTATTCATTTTGGAATCATTTTTCATGGTTCTTCATTGCAAAGAAATAACAATCAGGGAGAAATAATTAATTGAAAATTTTACTTAGCACATTACACACATATATATGTGTACACAACAGTGTAATGAGGAAGCTATATACTTCTTTTACAGGGTAGAGTTTGTTGTGGGAGACCAGCCAGTGAACAAGTTCAGGATGATAGAGAAACATTACTTCAAAGATCGTATACTGAAATGCTTTGACTTTGAGTTTGGTTTCTGTATACCACATAGTCGCAATACAGTAGAACATATATACGAGTTCCCGCAACTTGATCAGGATGAAAGTGAGTTTAACATACCGTGGTTTATCTCACTTAATTGGGAAGAGGCCTTTACCTCTTGATTTTAGGAAAGATAATCACTAAAATTGGTAATTTAGGAAATAAAAAAGCTGGTACAAGTTCAGATTTTTGAGGAAACTGCATGATTTTAAAGAAAATCTCAATTGGGAATAGGCCATTTATAAGCTTCTGATATATAAGGTAAAAAAAAAATCACTGATATTACATACAAATCTCTTCTCAAGCTCAGTGGGAATTATTTTAAAAAAAGAAATAACTGGTTGGAATGATTGAAGAGTAGCATATGAAAATTGAAAAATTTCAGTAATGTGCTTATGTACAAACACATATGATAACTATGTGAAAATTTGGGGAATGACTATAATTTGATTTGTTGATATATTTCAGTTCGAGAAATGATTGAATGTCCGTACGAGACAAGGTCAGATAGTTATTACTTTGTGGAGGATAAACTCATCATGCATAATAAAGCTGATTACGCCTACAATGGTGGTACCTGAGACCTGAACATACATCCGTCCATCTGTCTGTGTAAATGATATAAAAACTTCATCATATAAAATTGGACTAGTTTTTATACTGATTTGAATGTAAATGTTGCTGATGGTACCGCATATCTCAATGGTTGCCATGGAAACCTTTGATGTTTTTATCATGCTCTTCAGATAGGAAGCTGAAGAATTGCTGTAGAGAACTTTTACATTCTTATATTTGTCCGTTGAAATATGTGCAAGTTGCCATATAGATAGTTTGCTGATAATTACAATTTACCTCCTTTGATTGAAGTGGCAGCCATTTTGTTGGTCATTATTCAATATGTAAAATTGATGAAATATTGAAAATAAGTAAACAAATCACTTAACATTTTTATATATGTGAAGAAAAGTGTTGCTTTAGTACAAATATCAAAAAAATTTACCAGCTCGCCTAAAAATTGTAGAATTAATACAGATGTGGATCTAATCTTTTAAAACATATGATATATTGGCAATGACCTTCAGAATGGCAATCAGGGGAGATAATGCATGTTATGTAAGAAGCAGCTGTTAGTTATCAATGAGATATATATGTATCTAAAATGTAAGAGTTCAATACTGTTTTACTAATCTGTTTATGAAACTGATATAGAAATAAGCTAGAAATAAGATTATTGGTTCTGACTGAACTATAAAGAAAAATGAAAAAATGAGTACCTTTCAGAAAGTTGCATGTTCCTTATTCTTTAAAAGGTTTACAGAAACCTTATGATTATATGAATTTGAAACTTAGACTGTACATTTGAATTTTAAGTTAATGATTAAAAGATTGACTTTGCAAGTGTTACATAGGTCAAATTAATTAGATAGCACACTTGTATGTTTTAACTTCTGTGAAAGTAAGCGGCCCAATAACTTACATATGTCGCCAGTACAGAGCAAATCAAGTCTGCACTTTTTCACATACCTTCTTAATTAATCTTGTTGACAGCTTGATTTAAACATTTTAATATGGAACTCTTTTTCCAAAAATGTACAAATCCTTGTAATGGTTCAAACATGCCAATTCTATAAATCAAGCAGGGTAAATGTTCAACAAAAATTATAAGCAAAATGATATTGAACTTATAGAATACTTCTTTACTTTTGTTTGACATTTCTTTAAAATGTTTTAACCCTTACCTTGTGGGAACAAGAAGTGACCACCAAGTATAGAGCCAGACCAGATGGTACAATCTCTACTGTTGGCTGACTTAACTTCAAATATTTATCTCGGTATAAGCTTACCTAAAATTGATAATGGATTGTTCCAAAAATGGAAGCGGGACAAGTCCATTTAAGAAATTCAGCAGGTTAAGGGTTAACTTATAAAGAATGTCATAAATTGTATGCTTCCTGAAGTATGATTTTAGTTTTACATGTATGACTGGTTTTTAAGTCTTTTTTTATGCATAATGTGCAATGTGTAGAATCAATCGTATGTAACTACACAAGTTTTTGATTTATACGTCCAAACAATTTGTTAGCTTCATATTGTAAATGTAGTATTTTTTTTTTTATTAAACAGTTTTATGAATGTTTATTATGTTAAATATAGATAATTGTGTGCATAAATGACCATAATGTATGTTAACAATTTATTTTTTCTATAAACTTTGTCTAAAAATAGATTGACTCTTTAAAACAATTAATGTAACTGTCGATAACTTTTTATTCTTAGGAAAATAAAAAGAATGGGTTTAAAATAACCTTACACATAGAGCAGGACTCTTATTTACAGAAAGTTTTACTCACAAGCAGATTCAAATTAAAAGATAAAAATAAATTTCAATTTAATTTAATAGTCTGTGGGAAAGTTTGCCTTTGGAAAGTGTTATCGGATACATGTATTTTACATTTATTTGTTTTAATATTCAAATAAGAATATTGTTCTTGCTTTATTTCATAAACAAAAATTTCTACTTTAATAGAATTTGTCGCATGATAGAAAAATATTTTTTCAGACGTCAGATTATTGTCTCCCCCCCCCCCCCCTTTAAGAATATGTTACAGTGTCTACTTACATATCTGTTGTATAGATAATGTAGACAATATAAAATGTTATGACTCTTAACATTGATATGTTAGGCCTATATTGTTACCATCATTCTGTACACCAGTATAATAGTATACATTATCTGGTTTAAGGGACCAGTCCAAATAGTCGGATACATTCCATATGATGCTTGGAAAGTGACATTTTTCCTTTAGTATTTTATATATACATTGTAAAATGTGTTTTTATCCAATAAGCATTATCTTATATGTAGGGGAAACTAGAGGTTAATATTTATTGTATATACGAGTTACATACTTTTAGAATGAAATCCACATTGTTTTATTTTCAATGGAACAAACAATGCATTAGAAAGCTTTAAAACTTTCTCTACAGTCATGATTCTTACATTTGTTTATAGATTTGGTAAAGCCTATTTTCTTATAAAGTTTTCACTGACAAATAATTAGGACTAAAGTGTCTAGTTGTGAAATTTGACCATTTTTGCTCGTAAAATATCTGAGTAAATGATATCAAGATAATTGTCGATTGCTTATTACAAAATAACAAAATGTTTCATTTTCACCAAAATGGCAGAGTGATAAGAAGTCATTCACTTTTTTGTAAAGCAAATACCTCGCATACTTTTGTTTGTACACCATTCCATATTTTTTTAGTTAATGCTTTAGCTTGAACTTCTTAACTAAACATGTGTATATATTTTTGAGTTGCCGTGAAATGAAATCACCAAAGAGTTCTAGAGAAATACTTGCATAATGAATGTTTTGCCGAATAAGTTTTTTTAAGAATTATTTATTTAAAGTGTTAATAGTAATTTATGATTTGTTTTTCTAATTGTCTTACAATTAAGTCCAATTACAGTATTTTTAATTTATTGATAATTATTGACAGATACTTGTGACTTTAACATGGTTTCATCTATTCATTTATTTTGTATTAACATATTTTTTTTTGTTCTGATTTATCATTTATGTAAAATATTATCTTTTATTTTGTTTGCATCGAAATATCTAGGAGTGATGATCTATGTGAACTTTAGTGCCGATATTTATGTAAATACTACAAAAAGCTGTTTTTGTATTTATTTGTAAAAGATAGAATGTAATATATTGTCTACATGTATGTATGGGAGATTAGTTGAAGTGGAGTTAATGTTTATCAGATCATTCTAAACTTTAAGATACAGTAAAGTTTGACGAATTTATGATATCTTTATATTTTGATTTCAATAGATTTATTAGAAAGTTTTGGAAAGCAAAATTGAAGAAGATTTAATAATAAAATAAACAGCTTAAAAATTTATATGTAGTTTTTTTTGTTTGCAGAAAATAAAAGATAAAATGTTAAAACCATTGTCCAAATGAAATTCTTAGCAATAACATCTAGTTATCTATGCTTATGTTTGTAATATTTTATTTTTTGTTTGTTCTGGACTATTCAGGAAAAGTTAAGTTATATATAAAATATATTTATAAAGGCTTTTTTTTTTTGTATGACAATCAATGATTGTTGCTCTTAATGCATGTATGCTTGTAGCTTGTTTTGATGACCCTCCATATAATTGTACACACTAGTTTCATTTATTATAATATATTTCATTATGAAGTGTTTCACATGTGTACATCCCGTAATTTTTTTGTCACACATATATTCTCCACATATTTAACAAGGGAGTCTCACTATAACAGCGCTGTTCCATTTACTGGCATTATAACCTATAATATGACAATGTGATTATGTTTTAACATGGGCAGAATGGTTAAGTAGAAGGTATTTTTACAGTAACTTTGTAGGATATGATAGTGTTACCATGGTAACACCTAATGCATGGTGGTCTCCTTGCACCAGTACAGCTACAAATCTTGCTATACAAAGCAAGTATTTTGTGAATATAGGAAAGATCAAAATGCCCATGTTTTCTTCACAGATATAAGCATTGTAAAAAGACCTCAGAAGTTATAAAGACTAGATAGTGCATATTCTTTTTGTATTTTGTAAAAAACAATTTTTTTTGTATGTGTGAGACTAGAGATTAAATTATTGTAGAGTTGAGATGTAAGCTCTAATGATTTGTGATGTATTTGTGTGCCTTTAATGTTGTCATGTGCTCTGTAAATTGATATAGTAAACTTTGTACTTTTTTCACCTGTACATTTTACATAAGACATACATTTTCTTATTTTATCTTCTCTGATCCATTTATGAAAAAAATAATATGCTGTCCCATTATGTTTTTGAACACCTTAGTGATTTCTGTAAAATACTGAGAATTTTCATTGATGATAATCTATATATTGTCAAATTTATGGTAAAACTTTAGAAGATAATTTCCTTTTACAAGTGTTCCATAGTTCTTGATATTTTTTTTCTGGATTAAAAAAAATAAATTAATTTTTACTGAAGAATTATGTTTTATTATTTAAAAAGAAATTTCAATGTGCAGGGTTTATAAGGTGAAAGGTTAAGATCACATATTTCAAACTATGTCATGGGAAATCTTTTGTCTATGTACATGGACTTTCAAAGTGAATGTAACATCGTGTAAAAGGAAATTATTTGAAAATGCATGGTCATAGTTTTTGTGTGCTGCTTTTTTGTTATGAGCAAATGTGCAAAATTATTTACAATAAAGCACATGCAAATTATGTTTGCTAAAATGATGTATTGATTATCAAATAACCTGTTATATTTATAAGTTATGACCTCCAACTTACATATTATTTATTCTTCATAAAGTGAATAAATTAAATCTGTCCTAAATTAGAGTGGTTGCATTGAATATTCCTGAAAAATAAACTAGGGAGGTTGTTAAGATGCATCTTGTGCAAAATTCTCATGACTACACTAAGTCTAGTATTCAATAAAGGAACAGCTATCTTTGAATAAGAGCATTGTCCTCTTTAGGAGTCATGCTAATCAAACTATACCAAAGAGTGATATATCTAAATGGAAACTGAATAAGATAAAATGGTCCGTCCATGTATGTTTTTCTTTTTTGTTGCAATATATTTTTTTACTTGAACATATCATTTCTATTTTATGATTATTTTTTTCAGAAAAAAATATGTATCTTCTCTCCTTTTTTTTATTCAACTTAATTAGGATGCTACTGCATAATATATGTTTGAATATATGAAAATGTCTGAAGCTTGTATAAATCTGTAGAATTTTGTATGATCTTTAATTTGATGTGAGTGACACAGAAGATTTTGTGAACAAGTTTAAACTATAGTGATACAAGAGGGGGTATCTGGCTGAAGTTAATGGTGTTTGCTTGTATGTGCTCGGATATACCAGTACTGTATAAACTGTCAAACAATGTGAACCACCACCAGTATAGCTAGAATGTCACCTTCAAAATCTTACAATGTTTATGTGAATGACAACCCTCCCTCTTAAAATTACAAAAATTGTATTTCCTTGCTTTAAGAGCTCTTACATAAATAGGTAAGAAATGTACTTTACAGGAACTGTGAGTTAAGTGTAAACACAAATTGAAATTTTCAAGGTGGCCCAGTGGCCAGGATACAAATTTCTGTTTTCTTGAATAGTTATTTACAAGTAAATGATGCATTATAATGTCAAGATTAACTGATAAGGTCTTTATAGGCAATCTTTAATTAGTTACAAAGTACATATTGCAAGTTACTTACAATGTTTGGGTTATAAGCCTAGTCCTGTTTGATATTAAACATATGTGATAATTACCTAACAATATTTTGAATTACCAAAAAAAAAAAATAATTTCAAGTGAGTTTCAAGTTTCTTAAACTGTTTTTTATCATACTCAGTTTAATTTGTTAGTTAAAGGAAAGGAACAAAAAAGAATCTTGTATTGTTTGTATAATAAAGGTTGTAAATTGCCACATAAAACTTCAATTTAGATATAATTATAATACTTACTCATTATTATATTGATTGTGAAGTGAATGTGTCATTTAGTTCAATTAGAACTGTATCAAATTTTATTATCTTTTGTCTTGCTCATCTATCTCCTGTATTTTGTTTTGGATAAAATGGTAAAAGTCTTCATTATGGTTTTGCTCTTTTCTTTTTTGTACAGCCCTACAATGTCAGTCTGTCGGTGCAAGTCCTCTTGCTACAGTATTTAAAGCTTGCTGTAACTTGAACAATTACAATTAGCATGCACTTTTAATTGTTCCAGAAATATAATGTTATGTTTTGTTAGTGATCCCCTTCCTTATAAAGGAGGCTAAGGAATAAATAAAAGTTAATGACCTCATAGAAAATTATATAGCCTACAACTAAAGGTTTAGCGCATGCGTTAAAAAGGTTTTTGGTGCTGGCAATAAAATGAGTTAATGTGCAGGCAATAAAAAGGGTTTCAATGCTTACAATAATGAGTTTTGGTGTTGGCTTTTCAGTTAAGGCAATAAGAAATATTTTTGTGTGAGCAATAAAAAGGCTTTGTGTGGGCAATAAAAAGTTTCGATGCAGGCAATTTTCATGCCGCACCAACACAGTATAGGTACAATGAAAAAAAGCTTAGTAAGGGCACGGATTTCTATTACAGAAATAATAGAATAGAAATCGGTAGTAAAGGCAATTATTAAGAGATTGAAGTGCAAAAAAAAAATCTACATAGGAAAAAGGAAACAACACATGTATGGCAGGCAAAGGAATATAAAAAGGCCAGCAACAATGGTTAGTGCTGGCAATAAAGCATTTGGGGCTGAAAAATAATGCAAAGAATATTTCAATAAGACAACTAATGTTAGTCATACAGGTAATAAAGTTGTTAACTGTAATAACAATTTGGCTGTGAAGTTTTAGGTAAAACTCAGCCTCATTTACTTTATTTAAAAATATAGTTTTCTCGTTCCTTGGAGAAAAAATGAGTAAAAGTAGAAAGAAATGGTTTTCAGAACCACTGAGAACAAAGTTCATAATAATTACTTTTGTTTTTTGTAAAGAGTTCCATTGTATTTTGTCTTGCAAATGCAAAATGCCTAGAAAAAATAAATATTAATATCATTTAACTAAAGCATGTGTCTTCTTCACAGCTTAAAATATTGCCAAACTATGTAGTAAAGTAGATATTCAATCTTTATTAGCATCTTGGATATTGCTCTATACAGTGACCTTCAATTCCCACTAAGAAGTATGTCAATGCAAGGTAACTAACATACCAAATAATTACGATAACAATCTCTACATAAAAGCTGTGCAAGGAAAAGAAAAGAGGCCACATACTTGTTGCTGAAACCCTGGGGAAGGATAGAGGTCCAGGCAAGATACATAAAATACCAGACTATAATAAATATATGTGTTTTTAATAAATAAAGGCTCCCTAAATCCTAGACAATATGATAAATGATGCTTTCTAAAAAGTATTCTTACGGAGCACAAAAATAAAACAATATTTGTTTAATCATAAACCCTAATGCTGCTTGCAAATTTCATAAGTAAGAGCTAGACTTGAGGTTATAAAATTCTATCCTCAATTTGACCTCGTATCTCAGGATTTTCATTGGTCAGTGTACAATCTGTGCTGGTTTGTGACCAATCAATACCTGAGATCTGAGTTTGGACCTGTTAAAATTTCTTTATAATTTCAGACCCAGAACTTTCTTTGTAATAACCTAAGGATGAAAGCACAAGTTGATAGCATCTCTTTCTTCTTCTGATAAATCTGGATGCCATAAGTCTATGATTAAAACCACACGGTCCTCTTGTTCTGAATTTTTGTTTGCTTCATGCTTCACTGAATGCAGATACGAATCATCAAAAACGAGACATTTTCCATTTTCCCATGTTGTGGTTTGTCCATCAACTGTAAGGAGATATTCGGGAGATACTTTCAAGCCTGAAAATATAATATTTCAAAAGGTGTGAACAGTTAATTCAATTAGAAGCAGAAAAACAAAAAGAATTTAGGCAGATAAATATTTATGATAGAAATTCACAAATATGACATTTTCAACAGGCTGTCCTGTAGCATAATGAAATATCTGTATAAAGTTCTGACAAAAAATCAAATCATTTATAACAAGCAACAGTGATTTTTTTCCAATTTTCAAAACAACCTGTGGCTTTCTGAAGGGTAAAATATAGTGAATAAATCAAAAAAGGGGGAAAGTCTGAAATCAAATTCCAACAAAAGTCACTGTTTCCTTGAGCAAGAAACTTTACACTCATAGCTCCGTACTGGTTTATTCCAGGAACAGATTCGAATGTGTGTCTAGAAGCTTATAGCTTTCTGCACTACTGAACTAAAATAAATTCTGTATAAACCAAGACAGAGTTTTAACATATTTCACAGAGGTAAATTATTGATGAAATTCGAATACAGGTTCCTGTGATTTATGAACAGAATTCTGCATGTCTGACCATCTCAATATGAAGCATAAATTAATTATCTGGAACAGAACAAGTGCCTTTTTATGTTCAGTTTAAATGAAAATGTAAATACATTTATTCTCCATTTCACTGAATCATTTAATTACCTAAATGGCATCTAAGTCTGATATTTGTAGGTCCATAGTGAGGAGTTATCACTGTTCCTGGTTTCAGCACGGATATCAGCACATTACCAAAGACATTCTCCTTCATTACAGATGAAAGTCTATTAACAATATTCATAGTTTTAGGACAAATAGTTTGATTAACTGTAATAGCTGACCCTTGATTAATAAAATGAAAAACATCCCAAGATCCATTTGGAGTCTGGTTTCTCTTCCAAATACCTTTGTCTGGGTTTTCGAGAAGGAACTTTATATCATCTCTGATAGTTTGAACAGACTTCTCAAGTTCTTGACAATCTTTAATTCTCATCTTGGAATGTTTGTCCCAGATATTCCTCGGTTCTAAGTTGTCATAATAGAACACGTTTGGTTTTTGTCTATAACCATCTGGTATAGGTCTGTATACGAAATCAATCCCTTTCTGTATTTTGAAAGATGTAACTCTACTTTTTACTCCAGATATCTTGTTTAATGCTTTGGAAACGGTATCGTGATATTTGTTGCAACGCACACAGTTTGGATCATTGCAATACTCTGACTCATGGGTGATCTGTTCTGTTTTCATGAACGCAAATCTATAACGTCGACTAATAAAATAAAAACCTGCTACCACCAGTAATGTAGCAATAAAAGAGTTTTCAATTAAAATATTGCATAGTTCTAACACTGTAAACATGGTTGTCTGTTATTTTGACATAAACCGCAAGTGAAACTGAAAGTAGCTGACTGTTGTTGTTGTTGACATTCCTGCGTTTGATTTTAATCAAATATAAAATGTAATCGAACAAGAAATTTGTAATTCATCTCTTTACATCAATATTGATGACAAATATGTAAGGATGTCGATAATTCTTATATAAAAGCATACTATTAATTGCATAAATATTTACCACTTAAACAATTACTCATGTATTATACGATCAGCGTAATATTAGCGTAAACTTTGAGTGTTACTCTTTATTTGAATCCCGGAAAAGACATTTTTAGCTCGATTTAAAGTAGAGGTATTGTTATAGTCCTGGCGGCGTTGCCGTCTGCAAACTTGTACCTGGATCATAACTTTTTTAGTTCTTGGTGTATTGTCCTCATACTTGGCAACAACAACCCTTGGAAAAAGACCTTTCAGTAGACCACACTAACCTTGACCTTCATTCAGAAATGACGTTGACCTTCAAGGTCAAAAGTCCAAATTTTGCTTGTTCTTGCTATTATTGGCTGTAACTTTGTTATTTTTGAATGGATTGTCTTACAACTTGAACATAATAATCTTCAATGATATCCCTTAAAAATAACCAGACAGACCCTTACCTAAACTCATAAATGACCTTGACGTCTTTGAAGGTCAAATTATTGAAATTTTCATTTTTTTTTTGCTATTATTGGCTGTATTAAACTTTGTTATTTTTGAATGGATAAATTGTCTTCAAACTTGAACATAATAATCTTCAAGGATAGCCCTTAAAAATAACCAGAAAGACCTTGACCTTCAATGTCTTTGCTACAATATTCAACGTACTTTCCCAAATTTTATTCTTCTAACTTCACGCCCGGCAAACTGTCGCTCCACTTCAAAATTGTGGTGTACAGTAAAACGAGCGAACGGCATTTCCGAGATAGAGCGGAAGGCCGATTTAAACGCCTAATTGTAAGTATTGTTTATGTTTTTGTCTTGTTATTCATTTAAGTTGTATTTTTTCGAAAAACGGAAAATGTAGTTCCGTGTAGGATTGATTTAGGCTTCCAATGATCTAAGCTGTTACAAAATGAAAATTATATTAAGCCCGGGAGAACTTTTCTCCCTGACGAAGCGAACGATGATTTGTAGAATATTGAACTTCCCAACCATAGAAATGCCATACCCTTCAGATTTCTTGAAAAAGTGCATTAGTAAATTATCAATCCGTAATAAGAACTTGTCATTCGAGCAAAATAGATTACTCCTGAAGGATTTGTTAAATTTGTAAATCGATATTTTTCGAAAGTAGTGGAGCGAAAGGGCAAGAGGTGGAGCAAAAGGTTCGATGTTGAGCGCAAGGCGATATTAATTTGACGTATTAGGAGGAGCGTAGTCTATCATTATTTATATATAAAAGCTATAGAAGTTAAAATAGACATGATCAAGTGTTAAGACCGAGATATATATACCTTTTAAAGACAACTAATAAAGTGTGATACCGGTAGCCTTTCAACGATTATAGCGTAATAAATGTAATCGCGAAGGTGTCACCTATGGCTGCCGTGTAGATTCCATTATTTATGTTCGAAATTTGGATGAGGCCCGACCATTGAATCATACACATATATGCATGGCATAATACAGGATGCCTCTTATTCGAGGTCAATCATGATTTTTCACACGGTAATGTACATTTAAAAACGTGTGTCCGTGCAAATTCGACAAAATCGAATATTTTCAGTTCTACCGCGAACAAATGTTTCCGAGCAGGTACGTGTAACGCGATTGTTCACGTCAAAATGTTATGTTTATCGAAAAGTTAGATATTCAAGGTGTACGGGACTGCCCATGCACGGCGCAGCCGTAAAAGTCGTTAAAGTCGTTCGTGGGATAAGTAAAACTCTGCAGTGCAATATACTCGTTCTTATGTTTATTTGTAGACAACAATAATCCTACTAAACAGCTAGTCAAACGGTTATCTGAAACAATGATAACCGACTTACAATAACAATACATGAATTTCAGTAAATAACAATAAGCAAACAGAATTACTTCAATTATAACAATTTAAAGTCAATATGCCCTTAACATAAATCTCTTGAACAAAAAATAGTTTATCTCTGTCTCTTGAAGATCTATTTAAATATTCTAAAGGTTACAAAAATGTAAATAGAAATGTATTTTATAAATTAAAATAATACAAGGAAAAAATGTAAACTTACTGAACAATGCAATCTTTATCCCAAAACACTTAGAAAATTAAACATCAAATTCAACAATTTACATTTATGCGTGCTTCGCTCGCCAAGTCGCCCTTTCGAATGCGGTCTTGGTGCGCGATTTTAGGGGACGTGCCCGATGAGTATTGTTCCTAAAAATATACAATTCTGTAATTTCTGACCAATCAAAAATGTTAATTTTCATATTAGACGCGGTTCCAAAATTAGATTTGCCGCTTATGGATAGGGTCTAACGAGCATTTTTGATGAACGATATATAAACAAGATTTTGGCACATAGCAATTAAATCTGTCTTCTGACAGGCCAACGAAGGGGCAACCAGATAAAAATTGAAATCTATATGTCTCTGTTTCTCGAACCTCAGTGCATGATGACCTAGCCATGTCTCCTACACAAGGTGCAGAACAGAAACAAAGTTATGCAATGCATGGAACACATTAAATTAAATGGATCACCACTACCGAGTTCAGATCACAATGACTTTCTGTCATTAATAGCTCTAACGTACCTGTTCAGAGCAAACACAAAAAAGCCACGTTTTCATGAATTTGTAAGGTGAGGAATCGCTATGAAAATGGTTGACAAGGTGTCAGTCGTTATAAGGATATAACACGTGTTTCAGTTATGTTTCAAGATACTTCCTCCCTTATTTATCATTGTCAAGTGTAAATAGAAATGTTTACTTTTATAATCAAACACTGCAGTACAAATCTTGGTTTAAGAAAAAATTAAGTTAAAATAAATATCTAAGATTTTGTTTGTTAAACTATGAACAAAACGAACGTAATAAAAAAAGGCAGAGCTCAGTCGGTGTACGGACTAAAATTATCAATAATATAATAGACCTAGTTATAGTAGAAATTTCTATTTACACTTTGAGAGGAAAATAAAAAACTAAACAACAATGCTAAATAAGGGAGGAAGTATCTTGAAACATAACTGAAACACGTGTTATATCCTTATAACGACTGACACCTTGTCAACCATTTTCATAGCGATTCCTCACCTTACAAATTCATGAAAACGTGGCTTATTTGTGTTTGCTCTGAACAGGTACGTTAGAGCTATTAATGACAGAAAGTCACTGTGATCTGAACTCGGTAGTGGTGATCCATTTAATTTAATGTGTTCCATGCATTGCATAATTTTGTTTCTGTTTTGCACCTTGAATATCTAATTTTTTTGAAAAACATAACATTTTGGCGTGAACAATCGCGTTACACCTACCTGCTCGGAAACATTTGTTCGCGGTAGAACTGAAAATATTCGTTTTTAAATGTACATAACCGTGCGAAAAATCATGATTGACCTCGAATAAGTGGCATCCTGTATTATGCCATGCATACATGTGTATGATTCAATGGTCGGGCCTCATCCAAATTTCGAACATAGATAATGGAATCTACACGGCAGCCATAGGTGAACACCTTCGCGATTACATCTATTACGCTATAGTCGTTGAAAGGATATCATACTTTATTAGTTGTCTACAAAAGGTATATATATATCTCGGTCTCAACACTTGATCGCGTCTATTTTAACTTCTATAGCTTTTATATGTAAAAATTCATAGACTACGCTCCTCCTAATACGTCAAACTAATATCGCCTTGCGCTCAACATCGAACCTTTTGCTCCACCTCTTGCCCTTTCGCTCCACTACTTTCGAAAAATATCGATTTACAAAATTAACAAATCCTTCAGGAGTAATTTATTTTGCACGAAGGACAAGTTCTTAATACGGATTGATCATTTACTAATACACTTTTTCAAGAAATCTGAAGGGTATGGCATTTCTATGGTTGGGAAGTTCAATATTCTACAAATCATCGTTCGCTTCGTCAGGGAGAAAAGTTCTCCCGGGCTTAATATAATTTTCTTTTTGTAACAGCTTAGATCATTGGAAGCCTAAATCAATCCTACACGGAACTACATTTTCCGTTTTTCGAAAAATACAAATTAAATGAATAACAAGACAAAAACATAAACAATACTTACAATTAGGCGTTTAAATCGGCCTTCCGCTCTGTCTCGGAAATGCCGTTCGCTCGTTTTACCGTACACCACAATTTTGAAGTGGAGCGACAGTTTGCCGGGCGTGAACTTTTGTTGTCTGTGTTAAACAGTTAAGTACCTTGGAAATATGAGGCGCCTGTATACTGGCTTCTTTCCAGTTCACAAACTATTGAAATCCCTCAGTTATTTAGAGGTAAAAAATTGTGTTTTTTTTAATGGAAAACATCATTAAAAGTTTATTATAAATGAATGTCTTAAAAGGTTTTGTTATTGACTGTTTCCTTTTTTCTATTGGTTACAGTTGTAAATTTTCCGAATTTTATCTGCAAGGGTCGTTCATATAAAAAATAAAAATATCAATTTAAATTTTGAAACTTTTGAATTACCTAATTATAATTCAGCAATTGCAGCAGAGCTGCTTTTTATACCTTTTCTACTTATTTAGAGTAGATTTTTGATTCTTAGTGAAAAACTTTAAATAATTTACAAAATTATTATATGTTTATTTTTACGTTGTGTCTGAAAAGTTAGATAATTTTATTCTTTTTCAACTCTTTTGCACATTTTTTTTCTGCAGTTGAAACAACTTTTAACTTTAAACTTGCAATTCCAATTTACTCTTTAATTCAAGTGTACATTTTTGTAGATTTTAGCAGGGTTTTTCTTATAATGCATAATAATGGTTATCATGTGCAAATTGTATTTTGCCAGGGTCAACAAAGCAAATTTTAGTTTTCTTTTTTCTAAAACAAAAATATGTATTTGATAGAAATTGAAAAACTTTACTTTTTCCTATGTAAAAACACACAATTTCATAAATTATTGTGTTTTTCTAACCTTCTGAATTTTGTTTACTTCAACGTTGATTTTTGTGATGTTACAAAGATTGCTGTAAATCAATTTTAAACAAGTGCATTTCTTATATCAGCTAATATTTTGCTGTATACATATTTATATAGGAAAAATCAATTACTAC